TTAAGTTAATAGCAACAATTGACCAATCTGCTGATTCAACGGATCCTGACCTACCTTCTCTTTCACCAACACAACAATGAGAATTAACAAAACTCGTAGTTGAATTCATTGTACACGACGTTCAACCCTTGAATATATTAAGAAATAAATCGTTTCGTAAGCTTTTAAATGGGTTTAAACCACAATACCAAATACCATGTGTGAAAACCGTTAAAAAATATATTTCTGAAGCCTATGTATGGGGAACAAGACAGCTTAAAGGATTATTATTAAATATTAATACAGTTAATCTAACAACAGACTTATAGACTACGAAAAGTAATCATGGCTATCTTGGCATTATCATAACATGGTTAACCTCTAATTTTAGGCTTCAAGAAGCATTAATCTCAACTCACCACATGCCATATCCACATACAGGTCAAGATATTAGTGAGGAATTATTTAGTATTATAAATAAATGGGGATTAGTAAATAAAGTACATATTATAGTAACAGATAATGGGGCAAATATGATAAAAGGTGTTAAATTATTAAAAGAAAATCACCTTTCTAATATTAATTGGCAGTCGTGTGTTGCTCATACTCTTCAACTTTCAGTAAAAGAAGGGTTAAAGCAAATTAAACCGATCCATAAATGGCTTCGAAGTATTCAAGCATTCTTTAGACTTCTAAAACAAGCACAACGTTTGCGGGATACGCAACTGCAAATGCAAATAGATTTGTCAGATATAGTTCAGAGTGATGCTGAGGATGAAATAGTAAATCCACTCGAAGTTCTAACTGATTGCAAGACCCATTAAAATTCGACTTACTTGGCATGGAAAAGAATTTTAACAGTGCATCCAACAATGTTAACACTCGCAACCTTATTACGAAATAAACCAGGTGCTGCTTCAAAACAAGAAGGTGAAAAACTTCTAAAATTATGTCTAACTACGGAAGAACAAGAGTATATATCAGTATTTTACTTTTATAAAAATTAAAAAAAGTACTATAACTGCTAATTTATATGCCGTGTCCAATTACATATTGATCTACATGTTGCATAAATTGCATTCTTGATATTTTTATAAATTACTAACTATAAATGCATCAAAAAAGTAATTATAATTTGAATATGGCTTTAGCATTATTAAGCATACTGAATATATTATAAGTATTAGATATTATTTTTTATTTATATATATACTTAAATATATTATTATTATATATATTTTTTTTTAGATTTACAGAGCAAATAGTTAACCTTTTAAAGCTATTTGAAGAAATTACAAGACATGTTTGTGGATCAAAATATCCTACTTTGAATCTTGTATATCTGTATATTCGAACCTTAAAAAATAAATTCACACTTAAAAGTGAAAATGGCGAATCATTTGAAGCTTGAATTAATCTAATTTACGGCTTAGAAGACTCTGCTACTGATGAGGATTCAAGTCTTAGTAGTGACAATGAGGCTAATATACCATCAGCAGGAAATCAGCGACAATAGCAATATGCACATCAAAATGCATATCGTAATAAAGGTCATGTAAGTCGTAAAAAAAAAAAAAAAAAACACTTACAGAGTTAGAAGATTCTAACACTGTAGAATATTTATCACCTGTAAATTGTTCTGGGCTTTTAGAAAAAGCACAAGCTGCTATTTTTTTGTCCCTTGATGAATTATGGAATACATCTAACTCAATAGGTAGTGATATAAATCGAAAACCAATTGATCGTTTAGTTGGCTAAGTTGGCAACTAGTCGGTTAACAATTTTGATTCAATTATTAATTGATTAACTTAATCGATTAGTTGTTTAGTTTTTTAATGAATTTTTTTTAGATCAACTAAACAACTAGTCGATTAATCGATTAATGAACTAATCGATTTTTTAAAAAAATTTCAATCAACTAATCGATTGTATTTTTTTACCCTGATTTATAACACTTAACAATAGGTTTAAAAGCTTCCATTTTAGACCCCCCAAGCACTAAAACTACTCCCATTTGCCACAGCTCAAGAATGTGAAGAAACTGAAGCCCAAGTTCGTGCTGAATTGTCATTATTTGAAGACCAAGTAACTGTTTCAAATAATACTGAAATAGAAAGAAGCTCTGTAACTATTAATGATGATTTTTAAGATTCTTTAAGTGCCGAATTATGGGGAACATTGTCAATACCTAATAATGTTATTACTTACGATGAATTCACATGATATATGAAGGAACCAATAGCTCATAAAAATCAAAATCTCTTAAAATGGTGGGAAGATAGATGTATAAGTTTTCCACTTCTTGGTCAACTTGCCTGTAAATACTTGTCTATTTCTGTTACATCAGTTCCATCAGAACGCTTATTTTCTGATGCAAATACTCATATTTCTGCTAGAAGAACTCGTCTTGACCCTAATTTGGTAGATAAAATGTTGTTTTTAAAAAGAAATGCAAATCATCATACTATGTTTCTACCTGATAATAAATAATTCTGTCCTTATTCATTTTTTGTTATTAATCTCACAAGTGCGTCTTTGTAAACTAGCAATATATATATATATCTATAATGTCTTTATTACAGTAAGACCTTCCTAAGTACACACTCTATAAGTGCACGCACTATATAAATTCTATCTAAGTGCACAGCATAGCTTGGCTCCAACTTATAAGAGCATTATATATTTGCTCTCTATAAATGCACTTTCTCTTTGAGTACATATTTTGCTTTTTTTTTGACTATAGTCTTGAGAGAGAGCACTTAAGAAGGCCTTACTGTATTATATATTACATACATCTAATAACATTGATGGAAAAAATGCTACAGACAATAACCAATTAACTTATACTAACCAAACATTATTAAAAGGAAAAATGCCAATATGATATCATAATAGTACGAGACGTACAAGCTCATTTAAGAATGTAAATATGTAGAGAAAAAACGTATTAATAAAGAAAAAAAAAGTAATACACAATATTATATACACTAAACATATTACTTTAAGTATTGGTCATTAGATCCAGGTATTGCTGCCGTAGAATTAATACCTGGATCGAGATCTAGTCATAAAATCTGGATCCTAATAATAATAAGAAACAGGTTTTCATAAATTCTGGGATACTTGAAAATTTTGCTCAGTTTATAAATCTTTTTGACTTCACCTTAAAAATCACCAATTATTTGGAAATCACCGCTGTAAGCTCGTATCTAATTATTAAAATCCAGATCTTATTATTAGGATCCGATCTTATGATTAGATCCAGGATCTGGATTCAGGTATTAACTCTATTGCTGCTTTAAGATATAAGTCCAAATGTTTACTTGTATGAATTTTGCTATGTAAGATAATATATACCCTAGTGGAAGACTTGAGTGTTTCGAGATTGCTGTTTAACGTTAGTGCAGAAGTAATATCGAATTGTAACGAATATGTAACACCAACCAATTAGATAAGTAATATATTGTTATATATCCAGATCTTATTAATTAATCTGGATCCTATAATTAGATCTGGATCTTATGATTAGATCTGAATCTTACTATTAGAATCCGGATCTTATAATTAAGATCCGGATCCAGGTATTAACTCTAGCCAAAACATTAACGGTCTAAAGAATAAGTAAGAGAAGCTATCCTATATATATATACAAAAAAAAAAAAAAAAACATATATAATCTTATAATATTGTATTACATAATTGGATTAGCTAATAATAAAACAAGCCAACTACACGTAATATTGTTTATCTTATTCGTTTATCTATTTACAAATGATCTTCATTATACTTGATCATTCATGTAAATATCTTGGGATCTACCAAGCCAATTTTGATGATCTAAATACTATTAAAACCAGAAAAGTTTTCTCTACAACTTTAATTAGAAGCCCAAGAAAGGTTATCTTATTAAATTTTTTTTTTAAAGTTTAAAAAATTAGTTTTTAATAGTTATACAATTAAATCAATTGAATCAATTATTTATACAGATAGTCTAAATATTATCATTATACAGTATAAATAGGGTACTTTAAACTCCAGGGAGACTGTCCCAAATTAGGAAATAATGATCCAATTGTTATATGATTGTTAAAGAAATTTTTTTATACGTGTTATAATACTTTTTTAGAAAGCCCAGGCAGATAATCTTTCTTGTAAAATAATTTAAGTTCACTAAATAAACTTGAAGCTTTCGTGCTGTACTATAATAATATCAGATGAATCTCTTTGAATTCCACGACCTTCATATTATAATTTACCTACTGAAATTATAAGTAATTAACAATCATTACGTTGACAAGATCTTATTTGATGAGTAAAAAAAGCATAAAAAAACTTAAAATAATGATTACTAATGATAATGTAAAAGGAAAAAATTAGGTTATATAATTTTTTTATTATATTTGTTATATAGAAATCCTTTAGAAAATTGAAGATATATGAATAATAATAACTAACTAT